CCATACTCGTCACTTCCAAAACTAGCCTGAGCCACGCATCAGCTTTCTAAGTGAAGCTCATTGCATTTTAATTTAACAAATACCAAGGCATTGCACTAAGTTAATCTTACATAAGCATTTTGATATTCCCAATAGACCAAAACGACACTGTAAATAGTATTTTAAATACTCTAAATTTTTATAAGTGATCAAATTCACAGTTGGTCTGTATTACAAAGGCAGAATCCATGTAGCGGTGTCAGGCAGGATTATGAGAAAGAGATACATCCCTACCAAAAATATTCCTGAAAGCAAAATCCTTTATATTACTGTAAAGTTACCAGAAAAAGTGCCTTTAAACATCTGTTGGTGAAGGAGGCAGGATAGCCAAGCTGACAGAAAAATCTCTTCCATATAGGCTCTACTAAAATACTTAGAGCAACAGAAACTATGTGATACAGGCACACTTTGACACAATAGAAATGAATTTAGTAAAACCATTTATTAATGTAACATCTTTCATTCAACCTTGCCATAAATAACTTCCTTGAATCTTTAGAATAGTTATTTTGTAGGCTGCTCTCTTTGCCGTGTATGCTAAAGCATTCATACCCTAAAGAATAAATCTAGCTTGAGTATCAGGTACAGTAACCACTGGGAATTGGATTATAGATTACCTTTTTTAAAAAACAGAAACATGACCACAGCACTTGAATGGGTAAATTCACATATTTGTGGCTGAAGAGGAAGAGGAGTAAAATCCTGTATCCTCACAAGAATTGGGGAAAAAATGCTTTCCAAACAACTTTGACCAGGAGACTGAGATAGCAACCCTTTTATTCTGTTTCTAGAGTACTGGAACTGTCTTACCCACACTGATGAACATTCAAGAACATCGCATTAATTGCTTTCTTTTTGGATTACACACGTTAGCCAGATGCTCCTGCAGCTGTCATTTCAGCTCACATAGCTATAAATCACACTGCTTTATAGTACACAGGCAAAGGGAGCCTGGCTTATCCTCAGGCACCAGTGCTGACCCGGGTGAGAAGGGATGCTCTTCCTTCAGGAGACACATTCCCAGTTTCCCGTGTCCTACAGGACTGCTCAGGAGTAAACTGGGCCCTTTGTGTTGTGGGCACAACGGCTGACAGGCTCCTCACCCTCTTTCTTGTCTTGCAGGGTGGTGTGGAGGGACACGTGGAGAACAGGACAGCAAGCAGCAGCTATAGGAAAGGCATCAAGGCAGGAAGATGAAAACAGCTTTCACGGCAAGTATGTCAGTTTTTGCAGGAAGAGCATGTAGTGTCTTAATTGACATGAGCAAGACTTAATAAGCAATTAACTTAAAGCTTGTTTCAGGTTGTCAGTAAACTCAGCAGCAATATGCCAGCCTATGCAGACAGGCTACTTTTTCACATTTTCTTGTGTTTGTAATGACCAAACCTAGTACAGGTTTTAAATTAAAACAGACCTGCAACATAACGACAACATATTCTGCCATTTGGAAATGAGCAAATAAGTGAATTACATAATAAACGACCTGAAAATGCACATTAAAAAAAAAAAAACACAAGAGATTCAATTAATGTGAATTTATTTTTACAAAAATGATACATATCCACAAGAATATTTACAAAAAAATGGCACTTATAATTTACAAAATAAAGGTTCTATCGTTTAGACATTACAGTTTAGGACTGCTCCAAATAAAAGTATATTTGGATGATAAATTCACTGGACAGGAGCTAGGGTAAACAAATGCATTGAATATGTCTCTCCAAACAACTCTTTACCTTGTGAGGCAATATAAATAATTTGGTAGTCCACTTTCCATACACAAAAAAGAAGGTAGGAAAATACGTTCCACAGTTGTTCCTCCATTCATTTATCTTAAGTACAAGGGCAAAAATAAAAAGTGTTAAGTCAGTGATTTCTTAAAGACAATTCAGCATCCTAAAATAGTTCATTTATCAAGATTAAGGATGCAAGAACTAATCTTCAACGCTAATGTTTGTCAAATACTCTACTAACCAACTTTAAATTACTATTAACTATAGATCTTTATAAGAGGTAGCCAGGTGTTTAAAAACTATTGGTCTTGTTTAATAAATCTACTGCTGTAAAGAATCAAATGTAGAAGTGAATACTTGACTTTCAGCAGTAATGAATAAAAGGGCAGGAGGAGGAAATTAGGCATTTGAAAACATTATGGAAATACCTGTGTTGTGGGTCTTGGAAATTTGTTTTTTCATATGATAGAAACCACTAGTACTGGGGAAAGCAGAAAATAAATATTCAATGTGCTTATAAAGACAAAATTTCACCTACTTTATACAGAATTAGACTGCAACAACTCTGCTTAAATGTTTCTAAGGCTGTATTCAAATATATTTTTTCACAGAAAGATTTTTGGTTGACAACTGTTCCTGGAAGTTCTCTGACTTCTAGAGAACACTTCAAACCACTTTCCTATTCTGCGCCAAATCATTTAGAGGTAGTTTCATGCCATACCTGAAGCAAAATTTGGGCACTTTGCTCTGTGTTTAAATTTTTATTGCTATGTTTCAATTTTACAGTGCGTAAATCAATATCAAACCATAAATTTAAAAAAAATTAGTTTGCCTCTAGCCACAACTATACTTTTTATTTGCAGGCTCAGAGACTCTCCATCTTAGCTGGTGTGCAGTTCATATAAAAATATTAAGAAGTGCTTCCATTTGATAAAATCAACTGAGAGAACCACAGCACATCTATGCTATATTAGTATCAGCTTTATTTTGGACGCAATGAAAGCATGTCAGAAATTACCTGAAGAGACATGCTAATAGCTTACTTGGCTTCAGTCAGCAGCTGTTTCTGAAAAGTTACATAAAACATTTATATATGTAACAACAAAAGAATAATTATCACACTTGTATTTTAAAAAAATGTGTGAACAAAGGTTTTCATCTGAGTCCCCCTGATTTTCAAATACTATTTAGTCAAATCTCTAGTGATCAACAGCCTTAAATCCCTGGTTCAGATAGGTCCTCACAACTTCTGAGATGCTGGAAGTCAATACAATTAGTTAGAGCGTTAGGCTTGCTCACTGCCTGCCACCTGAAGAGGAGATGTGGAAGGCAGGTGTCCTCAGAGCTGTTCGTGTTGATATCCTGAACCTGGTCTTGAGGCACTGCTTTGAGGGAACAGCACGTGTTCCGGGTTGCATGTTCATTCTTGGCCTTGCTGCGATGACCACTAACTGTTAATTCTATCTCCTGTTTTCTAGGGTCATCTGCACATTGGGAAGCTGCATCCAGTAAGGACCTGCAGTAGCCCAGGCTTCGGCATGTTCCAGAGAGTTGACTATCACTGTAAGCAAATGTGGCTAAATCCCCCATTTCTCAATATTTATGCATGTCCCTCATGTTGCAGGAAATAGTTAACCCTAGATCATTCAATGTAAACAAATGCAAACACTCTGACAAACCAGGACATCAGTCAGTGTATCAGTAAAAACAGATGCTCCCAGCTTTTTGTCCATTTGGGAACTTCCATCAGAACAGGTAACTGGGGATAAGTCAGAGGAAATCTCTAATTGGGAATAACTCAGAGGAAATCTCTAACCCAAATTCTCTCCCAGTTTTACTTTGTGAGGCCATAAAATAGCTGTCAACATGCATTTAAAACAGCAATTTAAAGATGAATTGCTCTTAATCCTACTACCAAAACTAACTTGATCCAGATGATCACTGAAAAATGTAACATACAGCAAAATTAACTGGCTGGCTACATATTCATTGCATTTGACATAAAAATGACTTCCTTTCATGTGCTTTTCATAGTTCTAGTTCCATTTATACTATTACAGTGTTAACAGTTTTCTAAAAGTTAAATAGAATAAATGCACCAGAATCATCAGTAAGTAATTTCCTAATGAGGTATACTGACAGTTTCCTAAAGTTTAAAAAAATAAAAAAAGTGTTTTAAAGTGTCCAAAAGAACAAACCGTAGTGTAAACAAAAGATTCAAAAAATGGTATGCATTTTCAATGCCATCTACACTAAAAAAAAAGCCGTGATGTTTTGCTATAGCAATTCCAGTTTAAACATAATACTTACGCATACAATATTTTAAGATTTGGGGGAATGGCATATATTCATTTAATGCTTTTGAGCAGTACTTTATGCAATATTTCATGCTGTGTACAGAACTCATATGAAGAATTCTGAGATGTGTAATCTCTCTCCATATGTGGAAAAAAATCATTTTGACTCTAATTTACTACTGGAAATATAAAAGAAAATATATATCCTGCATTTTTTAAAAAGATAATAAATGTAGTCTCTTTGGTTTCTGTAATATTGTAAAACTCTAGTGCATTAGCTCAGTAATTGCAAAGTCTGTTTTAAAATAATTTTCCCTTTCTTCTTTTTAAAAAATTGGACTGTACTTTGCAAGCCCTTCTGTGATACAGGCTTTGTTGGACTAGGATGCCGTACTGCTACACAGGACTTCAGCTGCCATTAAAGGAGAAGAGCAGCAGCACTACAGCTTCTCACAAAGGAATTTACACAACCAACAAAGGTCACACAGACTCACAGAATGGTTGAGGTTGGAAGTGACCTCTAGAGATCATCTAGTCCAACCCCCCTGCTCCAGCAGGGACACCCAGAGCACATGGCACAGGGTGGCATCCAGGTGGGTTTTGAAGATCTCCAGAGAAGGAAACTCCACAACCTCTCTGGGCAGCCTGTTCCAGGGCTCTGTCACCCTCACTGGAGAGAAGTTCTTCCTCACATGGAGGGGAAACTTCCTGTGTTTCAACTTGTACCCATTCCCCCTTGTCCTGTCACTGGCCACTACTGAGAAAAGTTTGGCCCCATCGAAAAATCTCTTTCAAAATTACTGTTCTGATCTGTTCTTGCTACAAAGTGAATATCAGCAATTCAAGAAACTAAGCAATATGAAAAAATATATAACTGCAAAAAATTTTGTGCCTTTTCTTTAAGAAAAAAAATCCATTAATATTTTGACCAACCACCTTCCATTCTGAAGACATAGGCATTTTGGGTTTCAACGCAGACCTTACAAATAATTATGACCATTAAAGTAAACATTGGAATTTAATAAATAACACATTTGTATCAACACAGAATACACACAATTCTTTAAAAAATATTATCTCGCACTAAAAAAGCAACAATTCCTAATTCTGAGAAATATACAATTTCGTGTAGGCTGATAGGGCAGGATTCCATTTCTTTGAACAACAGTGCTGCACTGTGTGTGTTTTCCATCATCTTGAGACATTTTGCTTTAGATTTGCCGACATGCCACTGACTCCATTATAATATGGTGCCTTCTTGAAAAGCTTCTATCCACCTATTAGAAAATTAATAGTTAGTAGTGAACTGTTGGTAAGTGTTCAAACTGTACTGCCCACTTGCTGAAATACCTAAAGAGTAACATCATGCATCCACACATTCAAAGCTTGCTAACGACCTATTAAGTATCAGGACAAGGCCAGGTGATAGAGAACTTTTTCTTGTATTTCCTCCCTCCTGAAATGACATGCATAGAGCTTTTCAAGAAGTTGCAAATAAAGGGAATAAAGCTCCAGCTGAAATGAAATTCAGACTGAAATATAAGCAAACACTGATCTGATGTTGAGTGCAAATCTTCCAAGAACTGAGTGAGAAAAAAAGTCGTTGTAGAATGATTGTGATCATGGAAATTCAAACAGACCAGTTAACTCTCAAAACATGGCTTATGATTGTCTACAAAGCTAACATTCAATTTTCATTTGAACAAAACAGGGAAGGAGATGAAAGAAGGGTTTATCATCAGAAAAAGAGATTATTTTACACCTTTCCATTTTATTGCATTCTTTCCTCTGCGGAGCAAAGTCTTCTTCTTTATTTAAAGCAAAAAAGAGAAGGTTTTACCCAATTTAACTCTTTTTGGCCATTATCTCAGAAGTCCTAAGGAAACCTGCATCTTATGTTTAAACAGCTCATTTTATTTTTAAAGCAAAGATTTACATATTATATAATATGTACCTTTCATACATATGCTTAATCCATGACTATTAATATTCATGAGTTTGAAACACTTTCCCTAGGCAAAAAAAAAAGGAACAGGAATGAATTCAGAAAGTTTCTTACTTCTGAGCTGAATGAGGATCATCTGCCTTGAATATGTAAAATAAAGTGTTTTTGTGCAGTAAGTGGAATATTCTAGACTCTGAGTTTTCATCTTTTACTTCACTGACTGTGAATCCCAGTAAAGGCTGGCTCTCTAATGCTGCCACGTCCTGTTTTAGAGGGAAAAAGAAAGCAAAACAGAGCTTATAAGATACCTGGAGCAGTTCCTTTAACTTATGTTCATGCACCACACCATTACAAACCGATCAAACATTATCATGCACAAAATGCCATTTTTATAGCCTCCATGCATGGAAGAGTGAACAAGAAATAACCAACCTAGGCCTCAGCTCTGCTCTCCCTCATCCTTTGCTGCCAACAGCAGCCTTCTCCCTTGCCACCTACTCTCCTCATTCTGCCCAGTAAGACCTTGCTGGGAGTCAAATCACCCACCAGCAGCTGCCTGCAGACCAAAGGCCCATCTAGCCCAGTACTGTCTCCAGCCTTAAGAAGTTTTCGTGTCTGAAGAATGCTGCAGTGGAGAGACTAAGTGCCTTTATAAGGCATGCTCTGGTAATCCTCTGGGCATCGCGTAGCCTGGTATTGCTAATCTGGCTCGTCGTGGTGGTGTGAAAGGTACTGCTGGGCTTCTCAGTGAAGGGAACTGCGGAGCGCTCCAAGGATTGCTGGAGAAGCAGAGCCAGGGGCTACTACCTGCACTCAGTACACTACAGAGCTACAGATACAGTCCCCAGGGTGATAAAAAAGAGTTTCTGACTATTCTGAAGTGGTCGGCTAGGAACGAGTAACAACAGGACAAATATGAACAATACTTCCCCTTCTTAGCCCCCGTTTAGCTTCTCTTCATTTATTTTCAAACCCAGACTAAAAAAACATCCTTTTCCTTCAACATTCATGCCAATGACTCCCCTTTACGATATTCTTATCTTTTAGTTTATAAGGATACTGTACAGCATTTTTGGAAAAGAAGTATTTACATACAGGGCAAACTCCATAATGCTGTGGTGCAACTAGACCAGCTCCTGCAATGCTCGTGGATAGAGAATATGAACAAGGAATGCACAGAAATGCTGACACATCAGGTGAAGACTTGGGTAGTGGCCTCTAGATCAAAACAAGAGTCTCCTATGAACGCAGAATTTCTTGATTGTGGAAGACAGGCAAAGCAGGCTTAGCAATCTGTTTTATTGTTTTACGTCTTTATGCCACTAATCAGAGTATTCTCTAGCTATTCTTAACATGGTAGGTTGGGATAGGTTTGGCCCTACCATTTCCAAAGAAAATGAGGGATAGCAACGCTTTTAAATAGATGCGTTGCATATTTTGCATTTTTCTCCTGAAGGCCTTAAGTAAGCTATAATATGTAATAAAAAGAATCTAAATCAAATCTTCCAGCTCTAGAAAACATCCATATATGTTGCAAAATGTTATAGATATGGGAAAAAACACAATGTCCTCAGCATGTGCAGAGCTTTGTATACTGGTTAGAGAACATTACCACATACCAAAATTGCACTAAAAAATCTAAATGAAAAAAAAGAAATTAGACAAGATGCATTTCTTAGTTTCTACTGCAGCAGCTTTTACTAAATGTTAATTCTGGGCTGAAAGAGACAGCTTGAGTAAAAGTCAAGAGATTTAGTTTGCTCATTTTCCAAGCATACAAATTACCTCACAGAACTGCAAACTGAGATACTTCAAGATGCTGTCAGTTTTGTCACTATTGCAATGGTGACAAAACCATGTATGCGACTGACTCGGAACACACCTACAACCGCACAAGGGTGTGCGGCGCAGAAGCACCAAATCTATGTCTGGAATCAGAAAGGGCAGAGCTATATCAGAGTGTTACTGTAGCCAGCTCACCGGGCCTTCTCAAAGTACCAGATTGCAATCAGATCAATTACTGTCAGCTGATCTAATTTTATAGCTTGTTTCTAGATCAAGGATGAACAAATTTGTTACAAATGCAGTTTTATCATTGGATGCTTATTTGATTTCTAGGCTGTGTTGTCTCTTACCTCACTCGCAGCGTATGTGTATAGCACCTTATTTTTGATAACAAACCATAGGTGTTTCCATGGTTTCTTGCTGCCCTTAGATCTGTGCAAGTAACCACTCATTGTAGAGTCTTCTGTATTTGCTGAAACCTGAAATGAAAGCACACCCAAAGCTGTACACATCCATCTGCCATTCTGCAGTACGGCTGTTCAGTTTGCACAGACTGCATGTAGATTATTCTGAAGGACAAGATATCATGAAAACCAGTAACAACATAACAAGCCAGCTAAAATAATTGTAGTCCTCATCACATTATCTGCGTTCAAGATATCGGATCAAAAGTCATTGTTAAAATTGTTCAGGTGTAGATCATATTCTGGTAGTACAGGAAAATAACACCAATGTGTAGCTTCAAACTCAGACAGACAAAATACTGCTTATCTAAGTACTGATCCAAATAGCTACTTTTCCCTGTGGGAAGAAAGCAGGAGGAAGATTTTCATCACAACGGAATTCAAACTATAATTTTTACAACTTCAGAGTTGACCTGCTGAGTACCAAACCACAAAAAGTTAAAATACCTTTCAGAAAAACTGACACATATAAGAAAGAAGACTAGGTTCTTCTGTGTTTTGTTAAGTAATTATTTTCACACATTTCCAACTTACTAGCATCTTACACTCTAAAACACTTTTCAATCTTAGAGGTTAGGAAGAGTTTCCACACTACTTCACAGTTCAGGAGCCTGCCTAGGTAAAACTGAAGCCCAAATCAGTATCACAGATGAATTTTAACTTTTCGTTGTAGAGAAGACAGCTAAAATACCAATTACTTTTTTCCATCATTAATCTTGTTGATGTAATACCAATAAAGCGCTATTTTTTATTGAAAAAGCACTTACTTCTTTGAGAGCTGCAGGAATTTTTTTCTGCTTTCTTCCTGATGGGATACTGTGTAACACGGTAGACAAGGCACTGGATGGAGATTTATGGTTGACTGGAGATCCACTCTTGGGAGTATACTGGTTATCTAAAATGCACAGGAGGAATATATGCTTTTCATGTCCCAGATGATTAAACATAGGCAATGATCCTTGGATGCTTTTTCTTAAAAGCAGATGACATTTTTATTCGGATTACAGTGCTTCAAATGTAAAGCTGCTCATCTTTTGCCAGTCTGCCTATATTGTAATTCCTAAGCACAGTAAATTCAGTGTTGAATTAACTTCTCAGTACTATGTTGAATTAACATGATGAGTCAGACGCTCCCCCACTTGTGATACTATTAAAAAGTCTAAGAAGTTTAAAACTAAACAGATTGGTCCTGTTTGATTTCAAAGTCTATTTTCTTGCTGTTGAACTACTTTTGCCCATAATTAGGGTAACAAAAATCAAGCCGTAAAGACTATTAAAAATCTTTAAAGATATACACTGCAGTTCAGGCTGTGCTTCAGCTCCATTCCCCAACAATCCATCCCTCCCTCACTTCACTGCACTTATCTTTGCTTTTCTCAGTATGGGTGCAGTAAGGCTCCTCTTCCAGCCTCATGCCATGGCGCACCTTGAATTCATTCCCATCTCCAGAGCATGCCCTGCCTTTCTGCTCTGCCCTGGGCAGTTCCTGCAGCTCCTTGGAAGACTTCTGCAAAACTTCACTCCTTTAGGGCCTCCCTCTTCTAGCAACACCCACCACTACTTTCCAGTCCAGCCTGGAAGGAGGAGGGCTATGCTAAGCTTCATTAATTCTCCTTTTGACATCTCTGCATGTCAATTCCTTGATAGCACTTTTCTACTTCCAAGCAGCATTGCAAACAGAACTCGGTAAGGGGGAAGCACTTACTGTGGCAATAAAGGCTACAGAAACAGGACTGACAAGCGAGGCAGGTTTTCTTTACCTTGTTTCTGTAATTCTCTGAAGCAATGATCACATACTCTTGCTGGCTGGTTTTTCATATAGTCTAAGCCATGTTTATTTGATGAACAACCTTGACAGACAATCTGTAAACAAACAAAAATATTACTGTGCATGGTATGTACCTTTAAATCACCAAACACCTCAGAGGTGTACACTTCAGTACTGATAGGCCCATAACTGAACTTCAAATAGGCTTTTTTTTTTTATTTTATACTGAAGATGATCTTGGCTTTTCCGTAACTGATAAAAATTTAAATACAAAAATCACTGAAATATAGAACTCAATAAACTAGTGTTAACAATTCATGAAAAGTAGAGTAAGCCTGTGCTTCTGAAAACTATTGAATTCAGAAGCTTTTTATGAAATAACAAAAAGTAGTCATTGTTCTCTTGACAATTTCTCTACAAGGCAGATGTCTCAATTTCAGTGAATTGGTATTCTGAGAAATATAAAGGTTTATTAGATACTCATGTATTTCATAGTAGTTAAATATTTAATAAATTTGGTCCTAACAAAAAAAATGAATTGTTTATGAAAATTAGTGATGAAGGTATTTTGAACAATTCAGCTATAACATCCTTGCTTTGCATTATATAGTTGTGGGAGCAGAAGACAACCATATTGTATTCCAAAATACAAAATGTGGAACAGGCTAAAAGTTGAACCCTGGTTTGTCATATGCTTTTTCCTCTTAATAACTATGTTGTTTTTAACCCATATTATTGCGTCGTACAACAGCGTCCGTTTAAAACAGTCACACAAGAAAACCGAAAAACTAACTGAAAAGGGGATTACAAAATTGCTTACCTTTCCACACGCCCTGCAGTGATGTCTTCTCCACGTCAACGTGAATTCACTAGTACAGATCATACACATAGTGGCTCTCGTATCAGGAATCCAGATAGGAGCCTTTGATCCTAGCGGACTGTTTTCCTCCCGTTTCTCTGGATCCGCCTAAGAAAACATAGTGGAATACTGTTATAAATTCAGCAATGAAAAATACATTAACATTTATCAGTGATTATGGGTTAACTCTAACAATGCTGGAAAGCCTTCTCTAATACAAAGTCATTGTCTTAAATAAAGGTTATTGACTGTTTCACCAGTGGCCATTATAATAACACAAGCCTAAACAAAAAGCTACATTTAACTGGTTCATAAAGGCTGCGTGACTACCAAGCTTTACCAGCACATATATCTTCAATAGCCCCTACATATTAAAACCTCATTTCATCTTTCTGTTCACAAGACTACTGAGAGAGCTGAGAAAGCTGTTTTTTTTCTGTAAAAACTTTAAATTTTTGAAATAAGTAATTCCATGAAATATCATTCTGTTCTATCATCATCTACTCTCATCATTACTATTCTGTTTTATTATTCATCATAAAATGCCTTTTGATTCTCTAAATACCACCCAAGAATCTTTAAATTTAAAAGGGAAACAAAATAACAGTAATGTATGGTATACCTCTTCAAGACTTCTACTAGGGTTAAATGTGATTCTCTTTTTTGTATATTCTTCAATTGACCTGGAGATGGCTTCTAACCACTCATCTCTTTCTGTAGCAGAACTGTTGGGTTTAAAAATAAATAAATAAATAAATTTATCATTACCACTTAAAATTTAGAAGCAAGTGTTGATTAGAATCCCATTGTCTGTATTGTATGTTGGCTTAACTCTTCCACAATTGAAATTTTACAGACCGCCTCCTGCTCCTACTCATCCTGACTTTGCAGCAATGCTTTTTCCTAACTGTCTGCACGATGTCAGAGCTCATGCCCTCCTCTCCTCCTTCCAAAGCAGCCTGTGACTGCTTTGAGGCTTGCATGTCATCACTTCCTCCTTCTCAGCAGGTCCTGGAATAGCGGCTTGAGCAACACGGCCACTTGGGTTACTATCATGGACACTGGGGTAAAGGACGCTCCCAAAACATAGTCAAGGGCCCCCTCCTTTAACAAGGGCTCTGAAACTTCCTTAAGACCTTCTTTATTTCCCCCTTTTCCTTCTGTCTCAGGGGCAGTTGGTTATACTCAGCCCTGTGAAATTCCAGGCTTCTGCTCTTCCCTCACCTTGTTTTCCTGACAGTTTCCTCCTACCAACTCCAGTAATTCCACAGCTTCCGAATGAGTTGGTTAACGCACTTTTTCCATTAGATCAGCTAACACCAAGAGAAGAAAGGCTCTTCGTCAGATCAGCTTACTGCATGTCCTCAGCCAGCAGCCGGAGAGTCCCCAAGTGGGACGCAAGGAAAGGGTCAGGCTCAAGTGCTGTGAGCCAGGAAGCCAGGAGGACAAGGCCCTCTCGGCAGGGTGGGAACCTGCAGCTATTCTGCATCGAGTACAGTGCCAAAGCCGTTCCTGAGGCTGTGGTCAGACTCTCACTTTTACATTACATAAACCCACACTGCCATGCAGAGGCAGCATCCAATACTGCCTGTTCAGCCACTAGCTCTTATCACCTGCCAGAGCAGACACACAGCCACATCAAGGGCTGCGTGTGACCTCAATTAGCCCGCCAAACAAATTCAGATTAAAACTAACCCAGCATCTCTGCACCCATGGTTGGATCCTCACTGGGTTCATTAAGTGGCTGAACAATTCAAAGCACCAGCATTTAAGATGCAATGCCACCTTAAAAAGGGTGTCTGAAATCTCAGCCCTAACTTGTGAGCAACAGTATTTGTTTCCTTATGTAAGTAGCAACAAATAAATTGCTTTAAAAGCAAAATAAAGCATGACAACTACATAAAGAGGGAAGTTAGGAAAAAGGAAAGCAGCAATGTACACTAGTGAGGGCCACAACACTTAGAGTGCACAACCACAATTATTTTTTGATGCCTGGTGTTTTATGTTATCTGAATTTGGGAGCTTTGATCATTTCTGAGCCTTTAAAAAAAGCACTT